CAAGATTTCTGGACAAGAGTTTTCTGAAATCTTGGATCTTGGATCCGTGGATGAGCTGTTCAGACTTGAGAATCTCAAGTCTGAAATCCCAAGTCTGAATTTGTCTAAGTAAAGAACATGAAATTCGATGCCCGGACACTGTTTTGGTTGCGTTGAGCCAAGCAAATGTTTGGTAGCATTGAGGCAAGCAGATGTTTGGTTGCATTGAGGCAAGCAGATGTACATTGTGAAAAGTGTTGGAAACACCATGAAGTGTGGATCTCAGGGGGGGTACCATATATATATATATATACACCTGGACCTTTACAACGTTTGTGAGAACCGCCAACTTGGTTGAAGAGCTTTGCGAGCAGGTTTGTAAACACCTTGGATTCCTATTGTGTTCCAACTGCCTCGGCCATCATGGAAAACTTGCACCGTCTGGTTGAGAGCAGTTGGATGGAATGGTCTTGGATCTCGAGGGCAAGGCACTTGCTGATGTCGATCGCTTTGGCACTGCCGCGCACACGCAAGCACCCCATCAAAAACTCCTCCATATCGACCGCACCGCTCTCATCCTGGCGCAGCGTGTAGGGTGAATAGCACAAAACCCTTTGGAGTGTGTGTTTGCCCCCAACATGGGATATCAGTGGTGACCATCAAAAACACAACTGCTTCCAACACCCGGGTGGAACAACTTTAAAGCACTATCACTCTGAAGAAGGAAACTGCCTAGCAGGGGCAAGCATTCTACCCCTGCACAATGTTCTGCAGGTGTCTACAACTGGGTTAGCATCAAATTGTGCGCTGGGGGCTATCAGGATCCCCGCTTTACATTCGAATTATTCCAGCCCACACACGCAAAAAGTTGAATTCTTCCCCATTACTATTCCTTCACAGTTGAAGTTGCGATGATTTGCCGGAATGGTTATTTATCGTGGTTAATCGTCGATGCCATACCAAACCAAAACCAAAACTATTGATAGGAAAGCGTTGACCAACGCCCTCCAATCCAATCTTCGCCGCGACACCAAATCCAACATCTTGAAGAAGGACCAAGCATCCCAAACATCCTGGCACAAACTGGCCCTAAGAATGCTTGGGTACAAACCGACTCAATTTAACATTGGACAAAAACACATAACGCGCATTTGCCACGGTCATCATTATTGATCAGCTGGGACCCAACATGTTGAATGCACTCACTAGATTACGACTTTACACTTGGAACGCTGCTGAACAAAAAATACACGATCTGACAAGGACCATGGTGGCGCATTCATGTCACCGCCACCAAAAAAATGTTTGACAGCCGTTGGTGGCAAATCGACACAAATGAAATGTATAATGTAGCAGGTGCACATATCATATATTGTTACCTGTAGAGAAACCAGGTAAAGTCGCAAACGTTTATTGGCAAACAAAACATGAAACCGCCCACCCACGACATGAATGCCGTCGAGGCGCCAGACCCAAGGACGAGAAATATTCCCTGACTTCCGGGGCATTGATCTTCTCTTCGAACATCAAATAAGTGATTTCCCCGCTCTTCTCTGCACCGAGGCGGTTGAACAAATCCTTCACCTTCTGAAGGTGGGCCTCTTTGTTCCTCAAAGATTGGATGCACACAATGTTTTGGAACAGAAAATATCTCCAACCCAGCTGCACAGTCGGAACATCATGAAATTACACAGCATAAATAAACACAAGAGCAAAAAGGTAAGTCCAAGATTCGCCAAAATCGCGTGCATCATGGTGGTGTGATCATTTTGAGCACTGTCAATGGCAGTTTGGCAGAAAACCGCAGTGACCTGAATTTCAGCTTGACGTCCGACATATTCTGCAATGAGCCAATAAAAGCGTCTGGCATGGCCAGCTATGTTGCTGAAAAACCAACATTTGAGCTAATGCTGCCCCAGCCGCAACATTGAGAACTGCCTCGGCTGTTGAAGAGCACCATCCACACCGTCCGAAAACAAGGTCACACGTTGGTAACTAGCCTTGGTAAATTCTACACATTGATCATCTTTCGTGTAGTTGTCCGTCCCCAGTGGGGAACCGATCTTGAAGGAAAAAGAACCAGTAGGGTACCTGTTTTGGGGGAGCGGCGGATCTCGTAATACCTTACAGAAAGCGGTCCTTGGCAGAAAAACATGTAGTATAGTAAGAAGAGACATGTTTCTCTCGGAGCCTATGAATGATTCAAGTCTACCAAAGAACGAAAAAATAGCAAAATGCTGCTCGTCCTGATCAGTCACCGCGTTCCAACAGGTCACCACAACCGGGTCACCTCCACAACAACAAACCTGACAAAAACTTCAATCAAAGAGTCCACATAAAAAAAACCATCAACCAGAAACCAATTCTTCAATTTTTCGGGCAGTTCATCCACGTCCTCAAAAGAAGTCAACCGAAGACAAACAATGTAAACCAACGACACCACCGAAGTAAAAGCTGTAGCCAAGCATGCTGGCTGGCGGACTCCAAAGAGTCCATTCAGCACTTTCTCTCCCTTGACTCGAATCACTTCAGACTCCTTTATCCACTCACAAATTCCAAATTTCACCAAAGTTTCGCAGATCTGGAGTTTTTCACCCTTGCCAAAATGTGTGCTTCCGGGAACTTTCGGTTTGGGATGGTCAAAATCATCTTTCAACAAAGAGTGCGGGGACTCGAGAATTTCCCTAGTTGCCGGTCCAACAAAGTCCACTAAAGGGATCGAACCACCATGACCCAAGGGGGGAAGCGCAGGCAGGATCTGCCTGAGCGTCAACGTTTCACAAACCCCACACTCTTCCCCATTGTAATCGATCTTAGCTGCCGCAAGTTCACTCGCAACTTTTTCAAAGTCCTGGAGTGGCTGACAGTGACAAGTCAGGAGACGCTTCACAGCCTTTTTGGCAGAAGCTGCTCCACGCTCCTCTGTCTTCGTCCACTCACCAGCTGCCAGCGGAATCTTGCTTCCAGCCAGGCTACTGGTAGCTTGCAAACTCAAGTACAACCAGGCATCTTCTGCCCATTTTTCGGAGAAAACGGTCGAGCTCGCATGCGTCAGCCCGACTCTCTTCAAAGCCTCAACAACCTCCTCTGTCTCACCTCTGCGCATCGGAAACGAGGCAGCCTTGGATGGCCCCCCACTACCAGTTGCGGCCTGTACGGATTCATACAGCACTCTGAAAATCCACAACCATGGACCTTCTCTCCTCCTCTCAACTGCTTGCACCAACAACCAGGCCAACACCGTTCCAGCATTCTTCAAATTTGTAATACTGCGTCCGGCTGCCAAGCAAATGGCCTGTCCATTCTCGAATTTTTCTGCGCTCACACCCTCAACGGAGACGCTAGCTCCAGAGGGAACCTCTTCTGTATGGTCCACTCTCAAGCCACTCTCCTCTGCATCAACACTCCTCTCAACTTCAAACTTCGGCGCCAAACCTTCTCTCTCCTCTGAAGGAATTACTGTCAGCCTCCTCTCAACCTCTTTCTCTTCTACTCTTTGTCTTTGTCGCCCTTGTCGTGGGTTTCTTTCCATTTGTTCTTTCCCTTTCCTTCCTTGTCTTGCCATCCTCCTTTTTCTTTGCTCTTTCCTCCTTTCTTCTGCTTTCCCTTGCCTTTTTCTGCATGCCAGCCTCCTTTGCCTCCTCCTTGCCAAGATCGTTGCCAGCCTTTGCCGGGAAGCCACGCCTCGAAGGTCTCGGCCTTGAGTGAGGTCTTGGCATGCTTTCTTGCCTCCAACAGTATCGCCGCTGAGGTTGCATTCTGTTCCTCCGGCTCGATCACCTCGAGGTAGCGAGCCTGGACCCACGATTGGTCCATCAATGCTTGATGTGCTGCAAGGAAGTGCCCCGCCAGCATGTCGCATGCCCGGCCTATGGCACCCGCTCGGATCGTGTCCAGCGCCCTGGCCATCAGTGCAATGTCTCTCATAGGGCCTTTGAACTGTCCATAGTGAGGCTTGATGTGGAGCTGATAGTAAGTTGTCAGCTTCACTCCATCTGTAATGGCCGTCGATGAGCTCCCTGTCGTCTCTACTAAAGCCCCCTGGTCCAAGGCATCTTGCGCTCGCTGAACTAGGAGCTTGAGGACGGATCCCGGCGCTGCTTTGGATCTCTTGCGGAGCGGCGCTTCGAAATCCCCTTCGCTCAAGGACCTCACGCTCCGGGACGTTTCCTCTGAGCTGTAGCTGCTCCCGCTGGAGCTGATGATGACCCCGTTGACAAGCCTCCTTCGCCTTCTCTTCTTTTTGTCCTTCTTGTTCCTCTTCTTCTTCTTTTTCTTTTTCGAATGACCTGAATCTCCTGACCTCCTTGGGGGATCTCGATCTTCTCCGTCTCCCTTTGAAGTCTTCTTGGCAGCTTGGTTCAGCAGTGCCAGCAACTCTGCTCGCTCTCCTCCTCTTGACTCGCTCCTGCTCCTCTCGTCCTCGCTCTTCCTGGCCTTGCCTGCTGCTAGCTGTTGCGCCTGTCTCACTAATTGCTCCGAGACATTTCTCGTAGTAGAACCTCTTGAATCCTCCACTGCCTTCTTCCTCTTCAGACTGCTCCCACTCGTCAGACCCTTCACATCCTCCGCAGAGCCTGAACGAAGAGCGTCTTCCTGCCAATGATCCTCTCCATCTTCCTCTTCTGGAAGCTTGCGAAGCTCCGATATCGAAGGACGTGGGGCTCCTCCAAGCTTCAACCTCACGCCCTCGAGTTTCCTCCGCAGTTCTGCTGTCGACATTTCCTCTCTTTCTTTCTCCGTCCCAAGCTCCAAATCTTCTTCGACAGCTACTCCTCCATCTGAAGTTGCACCAACCTTCAACCCTTCTTGAACAACAGGCGACCGAGGGTGACCACTTCGATCCCCAGCGCCAGCCTCCCCAGCAATGCCCTTTCCGCGAACCCGCGCTCTGCCTTGAGCAGCAGGTCCGGTCCGCAACGCACCACGCCTTTTTGGGGAAGCTCTCGTAACTCCTCTGCCTCTCTCCTCTTCTCTGCTGTGCTCTCCGCCTTCTCGACCTGATGTCGGGATCCAGCTGAAATCCGGAAGAATCGAACGATCCGAAAGGGGTTCTCCTCCATCCTCTCTTAAACCTTCTCCAACTGTGCTCACCTCCTCCGACTCCCCCAACCATTTTGCTACTTGGCGTTTGTATGAAGCCGTGTAGTAGCTGGGGTTGAAGCCCTCTCGACTGAAGACCTTCACCCTCGTGGCATGGATGAAGCTTTCTTCCGCTTCGGTGCAAGGCCTGCTCACGCACAAATGAACAAACCCCTCTCTCCTGTTGAACTGGCTTGACAACCTCTTCGACAGGGCCTGATCGGTTGCGCCGACAAAATGCGCTTTCAACGCAACTCCCCCGTCTCCAGTGACCAAATGCCCTAGGATCAAAAACCCGACGGTGGCTTCTGAAGGGGGTGACCAGTCGGTCCAACCAAGCGACAATTCGACAAAGTCTCCTCGACCTACGTTCAACAAAGTCCATCGCTCCTGATCGCCAATGTCGTACTCGTCACCCTCCTGCCAGTCACTAAAGATGTTCTTCAGCGCGGACATGGTGGCGGGACAGGAAGACCGGGGAAGTCCTCCTCCCTCAGGCGTTTCAACTCGTGTATTCCCTTCTTCTTATGGAATTTCACTCCTGGCTCCGACTTGCGACGATGAACTTGTTGGTGTTTGCGTCCTCCGCGACGTCCTCGAGTTCTGTCTCGCTCGCCTCTGGGCCTATCCCTCTTTTTCTTATGGAAACTGGAACCTTTGGCCTTTCTCTCTCCTCTCTCTTTTCTCTTTCTCTCAGGGCTCTCAACTCCTTCCTCCTTCTTCACCACTGGGGGCGGAGCAGGTGGAGGAACTGGAGGGACTCTTGGTGGCGGCTTGGATGTAGTTGCACGCTCTTCCTCAACCTCGTCTTCCTCTTCGGCCTCTGTGTAGGTGTAAGAGTAGGAACCTTTGGGCTCAGGCTCAACAACCTTCTCCTCCTCCTCCGGCTGCTTGGCAGGAATTGCCAGCGCCTTGGCAGTAGCTCCACGGGCTGCTGCTCCTTCTTTTCGACTTCCTTCAAGTCCTGGAGGCACGATGGGTTGCAGCCTTAGGGAAAGAGCCCGCAACACCTTCACTTGACGGGCGGAATCTACCAGAAGATCGTTAGCCGCCCTTCTCAAATCGCTTGAGCCCCAGCGCGAGCGGAGCTCTTCCAGCACGTGCTCCTGTGCTGAGCAGCCGAGGCACCAAGAGTCGGTTCCAAGACTCGGGGCTTGCCTGCACTTATTGCAAAGCCCCATTCACAAATGGCGCGAGAGCTGTGGGCCGAAAACCGCGGCCACGTATCAAACTTCACCCTATGCTTCTGAAGAAAACAATTGTTCTTCCTCAAGTTTTTGGAAGCCCGCATGAACAGCCACATGTTTTTTCATGCAAAAATAGAGAGAGAGAGAGATTGAACCACAAGAGCGAATTCCCTGCAAATACCGGACTATCGTGTTTCAGCGGCTCACTTTGCGGCACACTTTGCCGAAAGCAGTCCAAAGACATGTTGTTCCGCCACTGCCAAGTCGTTATAAACATGTAGAACTTCTGCACATTCCGTTGGCGCCGTCATCAAAGTGTTGGGAAAGCATATTCCACGCGGTCTCATTTTGCGGGGAGTATCTGTCCCCCTGGTGGCTCATCTTCTAACCCAAAATCGAAAGTACCTGAAGCGTCCACTTTGAAGACCGCAGCCGAGTAGAAAGATTTCGCAAAATCGAAAGGACTGCTCAGCTTCACACATCTCTGTCTCCGCGAAGGGCTCCATGGCTCTCACGGATTTCAAAACCTCTTAGACAGAACCAAAAATGCATTAGTATATAACTGGTAGAGTTCTGCCGGGAAGGTTTGAGTTGCAACTTAAATTCTCAGATTGCTTCATCCTCAACACACAACCAACAACGAAACAACATGTCGGAAAAATGCGGTAAACATGAGAAGTGAAGTCGAGGTCAGAACCGATGCGGGTCCAACACAATGTTCAAGCAGTCATGTCCTAAAACCCGTTCGGGCACCAAAGTTCCCAGCGAAACAAACTAATTCAATTGCGACACATCTACAATAGCATCTACACAAAAAAGAAAAACAGTTTCAAGGGAGCCGGAAATGAAAAGCCATGTTCTTTTTGAGAAAATCTTAACAACAACACTGAACAAAGAGAAACCAAACTGTTTAGACACAACTCCATCATGGAGCTATGGTGCGATCAGCGAAAAAGACCACAGTGATCACAGTGAGGTCAACACCGGTCGGTACTAGTGGAAAACGTCATTGCGCCCACCCCACCACACCACCCCGCACGACTCCGTGAGCGAAACCTTAACGGTGCAAGGAGTTTTGCATGAGTACATGAGGAGGAGGTTCCGAAAATGTTACATTCCAGGGCCTCAGTGGTTCCATGCCGCAGTTCTCTTCCATGGTCAACTGTCTTCCGCTGGTGACCTTGAGCTTCCTTCTTGATTGTGCTAACAATTCTGTGGCCGCTACATGTTCTTCGGCTGGTGACCCTGAGCTTCATTGTCACTTGCACTACGGAACACATCGGAACACTGAAACAAAAGCCAAAGAAAGAAGCTGCACTCACCTGTTGGGGATTGCGCACAGCACGCATTCAATAGCTTATATAAAGCTGCGTTGCACTTGGAAAGAGTGCGAGAAGCGCAGCATCCATCAACAGAACCTCACTACGTTAGAACCTTGCACTTTTATACAGCAGAAAATGTGTGCTTCCATCTGTGAAGAGTGTCGTCTTCTAAAATGGCCGATGCTGCGTGTGTACAAGCAACTTGGAGCAATACGAAGCGATGTGGATTTGGTGGTAGCCCCCCCCACCCCGGCCACCCCAGCTTAATCGCATATTTGGTCTGACTCGGTCTGACTATTAAGATTCAACGACAATGTTCTGGACTGCATGACACTGTTGTGATAACGACGACAATGTGGTGAAACCATGAGGTTCTTTGCGAATAAAAATACATCCAAATGCTTTGAGGAGCAGCGGACACACGTGGGCATCACAGAAAGGACGTTCGCAGCACAAACGAAACAAACCAAATTACCCCAAAAACTCCTCAGTCTAGCCAAACTCCCTTGGGTCCGTCTACACCAACATCCAATAAGTCGAGGTACAAAATATGTGAAGGCAATGTACCTCAGTCGCCAACGAGGTACAGCACTTGATGAATCTGAAGTCGTCCCATTGTATAAGACCCGACAATTGTAAAATTCAAGTACTGTATCACAAAAGGAAGTGAACCTCCCACTGCCAACAAACAACCCTGAAACTGAAACGGAAAGGAAACTGTTTCTTTCAGGAATTTCAGGACCACTTCTCACACAAAAGCTGAAAGAGTTGCCAAGTCAACTCCAAGGTCACACCAGGAAGATCAGAATCCAAATCGTGTTCATCTTGTGGAGCGGTACCAAGACCTCCTCCCAGCTCACTCCTCCAGCAATGCTCATGAACAGACCTTGGAGCCGGACACTGATGCGGAGTGGGACAGCCAGGTGGGTGGAGAAAGGGACAGGGAACCTTCGCAGGGACCTGAGGAGGCTCCAGGCTTGATTTACTTTGAGTTCGCCCAGTTCGCGAGATCGTTTCGAAACCCATCCCTCACATCATGAGGTGTACCAATCAGCCAGGACACTCCTTTCTGAGTGCTACTATGTTCAATCCCCAAAAGACTATGAGGACAACACTCCTTTCTCGTCCCATCTCACTTGCACTCGTTCCAAAGCGGCTCAGCATGGTCGTCCCCAGTGAACCGAAGTATTCGGCACTCACCAGCTCCAATGCCTCGGGGATCCCGAGCAAGTCAATTGGCTTAAGCTGATCTCACTTGGCTTAGGCCGCCTCTCACTATTTCAGCTTGCTATTTCTCTTCTGAAATGGATCAAGACCAAAATGACCCGAGATAACGGAAGACTTCCACAAAGGGCATCGCTACGAACGGAGCAAGGACGCTACTAGGGGCTCCTGGCCTTACTACTAGGAGCAAGAAGCTACTAGGAGCAAAGGGCATGTCTACTAGGAGCGGTCAGACGCTACTAGGCACTTGGGCGTCTGGCCTGCCACTGGTCCGGATCCATGACGTGCTTGTTGTCCTTCACAAAATCATTCACCGCCTGGCGACGAAGGTCAGCGTTCGTCGCGGAGGCGATCGCAGTCGCAAAGCAAGTGTGGAAGAATCTGAGTAGAGTATATATCCGGTTCAGGCAGCCAAACACACAGAAGATCATGGACATATATATATATATATATAAGGAGATCAAAGCCCGTCAGCCCTTCAACTTTCAGAATGCAAAACCATGCAAAACTTCTCGTGGACAGCTATGGCTCTCACCCGGCCTGTGTGAAGAGGACCTGAACAGGAACGAGACGGCTAGCCACAGCAAGCCACTCCGATCGATCAACCAGGAAGTCTAGAGAATGACCCCGTTCTGCGGAAGGCCCTACCTCGCCGAAGAAGGGAACAGCCCATCCAACGCTTTGTGTGAGGTAAGGTGTCTCGCAAACGAAAAAGACCGGCAAGTCTTTCATGCGGGTACCGGTCAGCCTTTCATCACCAGCTCATCACCGACTCTACTGGCCTGCTGCCGCTTCAACTGTGATCAACTTGAATAACTACATTGAAGTTGAGAGAAAGTCGCCTGGCAGCAGGAGGCCTTATTTCTTGGACCCCTGTAATTTGCCGTCCTCCCTCCCATGTTTGTTTTTCTCCGGTCCTTCCTGTCCATAAGCCTGTCCTGTGTCCTTCTTTCTGTCCAGTCCGAGCGGCAGCGAAGACATACACAATCAGGGTCAGCAAGACCATGGCCCAGACCAGGCTCTTCAGCGTGTGAAAAATCGAGGTCACCAAGGTGCGAAGCGCCACCACAAAGCCTCGAGGCGTGGCGTGGGGCGACGTCGGCGGTTGGGACCGACCGTCGGGTGGTTTGGGGAGGTGAACACAGGACCGGGTGGTTTGGGACAGCAACGGTGTCATGGGTGTCATGGGTGTCATGGTGTCATGGGTGTCATGGATGTCATGGCACCAGGGTACTTCGGTGGACCGTGACGCCGAAGGTCAAGCCTTCAAGCTATATACATGGTGTTGTCAATGCTCCCGGTTTTTGAGCCATCCCTAACTGGAGCTGAAGATGTTGAAGAGAAGATGGGGACACCAGCGCTTCACTTACAGGAGATGGCTAGCTTGCATTGCCGTGGGGTTGAGGATGCCAGCTTGATCGAGGAAACATGGCGCACAGAGTCTGTTCGTCGAGCAGCGCAAGATCCGGACCAGCTGCACCGTCTTCAACACCCGGGTGATACGGATGATGCGGAAGGCCTCATCGGCCGCGGCCACGATGTGGGATGCAGGTCGACCTTCTCTTCACGCCAGGTGCCGGGGGGATCGCCATCATCCCAAAGCCTTGTCTTCGCAGGCTCTTCACTTCGGGCTTTCACGGAAACACCCACGGCATGGGCTTTCCAGCCACAAAAACCGAAACGAAGCGCAAGCGCGCGAGGCGCGCGATGGGTCGCGACCTACCCGGATCACACCTTGAGGCTGCTGATGCCCGCGATGGTCTCGATGTTGCTCTCCCCCATGGCCTTGGAAATGTCCACGATGACCTCCCAGAAGGAGCTTAACACGATGAAGACCTTGGAGGACCGAGGCATCGTGTTTCACACCAGTCCAAACACCAGTCCGACCCTCACGGTGTTCACGGAACCGTGAGTTGACCCGCAAGAGAGATCAAAAAGGAGCAAAAAGGCAGAGTCCACAGAGATCAACAGCACAGGGCTGGCTTTGATGTTTTCAATCCATGGTTGCGTGCTTTCAGCTCTAATTTGCACCGCCACAGGGGCCCAAACTCGTTTGAGTGATGTTCTCTCTGGCACCACGAACGGTCCCAGCTCCGGCCAGGCCACATCCAGTAAGGCCCAATTCCAATCCTCGTTGCAGAAGAAGTCCTTGCCAAAGGCCATGATGCGGAAATGGAGCTCCGCGGCGAAGAGGAAGGTAAAGCTATACTGACAGACCTTCAGGGAAGCTATACTGCTGGTCATCATGGGATATGGTCATCATGGGTTCTTATTGTGCATGTACTATAATTACACGTGTTTTACTCTCTCTTTGTCCGGCAGCCAAACCAAGAATCAATCTGTCAACATGATACTTCTCTCTTTGAAAAAAAAATAACACTCCAACATCAGTCAAAAACATCTCTCCGTGGCCTTTGGATAAAAAGAACACTTTTGTCGACTCGTTTGTCGACTCGTCGATGGAGACTCTGCAGCCTGCATGAAGGTGTTCCGCTGGGTGGTGGTGAGGCTTACCTCCACTTCATAGCCGATGAAGACGGAATTCAGGAGAACCACCTGGGAGAGAAAATCAGGGAAAATCATTCAAACCATTTCAAAGCTACTGATCATTGACTGATCATGATCAATTCTGTGAATCATGATGAGGGAAATGAATGGAAATGAATGGACATGAATGGAAATGAGGGAAGGATCTGGGACATGGATCAACCATGATGAATGAACCTCTGGAGGCTCCAGGATGCTCCTTGCAAGTCCGGATGGCTGGACACCGCGTGAGTCTTTGGATCTCATTCCGTCAGGGACTGGGCCGCACCTGAAGGACCGGAGGCTATCAACAAATATCAATTGCCACATGGACTTCAAACTTCAGACTTCTGAAATGATATCTTGCTCGATTACTGTGACTCCTTCGGTTCTGCGCAAAAAGGGAGACACTGAACAACCACCAAGTGCTCCATCCTGTGCATGAACCAGAGCATGCTCTTGCCAGCATCCACTGAGTCAGATGCATGATGGAGTGAACTTTGTGCAGTGCAAGTATGTGAGTATATATATAATATATATATATAATATATATAATTATATAATATATATAATATATAATAATATATAATAATGAAAGTGACAAGGGTTCCGGGATATCAGCCCCAAACAACCACCACAACCTACGGAGTGGAAGGTGTTCGGAAAGGTATCCTATTGTGTGGAGAACCCTAGTCCAAGAAGGCACGCGACGGGGAACCCCGGATGGGTTGGTGCCCGTGGTGTACCAGGAGTGGGGTGTGGTCGAAGGAGCACCTACGGCAACCTAAGAACACACAACACGAAATGCACGAATGCGTGTCGGCGCGACGATCGAACGATCGGCGTGACGGACGCTGAAACGCGCGGCGAGCACACGTTTCTTGAGCCAAAATCAAGGTCGGTGTGAAACGTGAAAAGGTTCAAACCGACCTAGTTGAACATGTTTGTACATACAAGACCGCATGACAAGTTAGGGGTTAATCTTGGTTGTTAAATTTCGACTCCCCCCTCGCCGATTTGGCGTGCCATGGGTTGTATGTACAGGAATTAATTACCGCGCATTAAGCAGCGGCTTTGGTAGCTACATCGGCTCCTAGCGAAAAGCTTCGATCCCTAAGGGATGGCTTCGGCTCGCGAACATCCGTACGTATGCCGAGAAGGCACAAAGCTTTGTACCACTTCTGTGGCGGTAGTGCTTTAGTAAAGATGTCGGCGGCCTGTTCGTTGGTGTCGATGTATTGCACATTGATGCATGGGTCATCGAGACACTCTTTCAAGGATGAGAGGTTTATCTTGTGTGTACGGCCGATATGTCGAAGTTTCGGGGAGTACCCCTTACGAACGACTATGATGGTGGCTTGGTTGTCTTCGTGGATAACAAGATCCACCGGCCTCTGCAAGAGTTTCTCCCAGAGTTGGAGAGCAGGTATGCCCTCCTGATACAAAGAGTGTGCCAAACTTACCACCTCTGACTCCGTGGTGGAGCGTGAAGTGGACGTCTGCCTTTTCGAGATCCATGCAAGTGGGAAAAATGTGTTAGGACCTTTTAGTGTGAGGAAACCGCCCGAGGTTGACTTGACGTCGCCTGAATCGCCTCCAAAGTCTGCGTCGACGTATAGCTCAAGCCTGAGATCCTTGGGATCGTCTTGGCAAGATGCGGTTAATCTATAGTCTAGCGAATACTGGAGGTATTGGATTAGCCTTAGTAACTTCTTATCGTGTACTCTGGTCCAGGCTTGGACCTTAGTCGCTAAGTCGTTAATAGGCTTAAGGATGTCAGGTCTAGACAGGCGGGCCAACCAAAGGGCCTTCATTAGTATGGAACATGCTTTTGGGGCGAGTTCTCCGGGGGAGTCCTCGTCCTCCTTTGACCACGTTCCGTCAGGGATGAAGGGAGTTTGCGCAGGCTTGATTTTATCGACTTTAGCTACGCTTTTATAAAGGTCTATGGTTTGTTGGGCATAGTCCTTCATGTCGAAAATCAATGCATCTGGGGCCGCGCCTAAAGCAGCGTTCTCTTCACCCTGAACTTTATCGAAACTGGCGTAAACATGGTTTCTTCCGAGGATTCTATAAATGGTCTCGGGAGGCTCTACGTTTACTTCTGACATTAGTTGGTTCAAAAAGGAGCATGGTGCTCGGATGGTCCGGATAATGTCAAATCGTCTACGTACGTAGATAACATGAGACCTGTCCCTTTGAAATAGAAATTTCCGGGATACTCAGGAATCTCCTCGCCTTCCATTTTCTTTAAAATCCCCTTTAGGTGGTTTTCCCACATCCCGCCTGCATCGGGATGTCCGTATAATGCCCTCACTAGAAGTACAACTGGACGGGTGAATTTTCCTTTCCACCACTCCGGGCGGAGTTCAGGTGGAAGTTCAATCCACGTTTTATACTTACTTTTGAGAAAGGCTTGGACGTAAGCCTTCACGGCGTCCGCCGCCGTGCAGGCATGTCCCGGCAAGGAGCCGTAGGCTAGACAGGCGTTTAAGCCCTGTACGGATGTTGGGTTCGCGCCCAACTCTTCGTAGACGGCCGCGACGCCATTCTTGTCGCGTGCACAATCGCCGCGATATACTATTCGCCCCTTCATTTTGTGAAGGTGTTCTGCTAGTTCCCAAAATTTAATTGAGGCGATAGTCATTAAACGGCCAAAGTGTACGGACACTTTGCTAGCCTTTGCTTCAGCCTTGACTGCATCATATTCTTGAACCGAATCAAGATCCCAGGTGCCGATGTCGGTGAGGGATGTTGCCTCTTCCTTAACTTTCTCAACGGCTTTAGGGTTCGCCAACATCTCTGCTCTGGAGAGCAACTTAGTTACCATGGCATGAACTCTACCGTGATGTTTAGGATCTTCAGGAATATCGAATGCAGTTCGAACGAGAGTTTCCAAATCCATCAGGCATTCTGCCATCTGGTTTGCAACTTCGTCGGTTTCGACGGCCAACGCAAATGTATCGGCTCCTGCAAGTGCGGAGATGTGTTTCAAGGATTGTTCTTTTATCCTACGTTCCTCTTCCCGCGCCTGGGAGGCAGCGGCTGGGACTACACGTGGCATGGCGGGGGCTGGAGCTAAGTTGACCTTTTGGGGATACAAAGCTCTGGCTATTTCACATGCCATTTGTGGAGGGTAAAAGGCGGTCTTTGCAGTTTGTGACCCAACCGCGTGATCATGTTCATGTGGGGAATGCCTGCACTTGTGCTGCGAAAAGGCATCTACGATGCTCTGGCTTGTCGTCATGAGCCTCCACGTCTTCTTGATAGGCCTGTCCTTAGTGGATCTAACTCCTACTGCACAACCGTCAAACTCAACTTGTTGGAATTGTGGATGTGACTTAAAGAACGACTGGACATCATGACGGTTCCAACTCTCGCAGCCCTTTGGCCACTCAAAGGTAACAGTGCCCCCCCTGTTGAGGACGATCCCCGCGCTTCTCACAAACTCTGCGAAAAGTCGCTTGGGTTCACGAATCTGCCGCGCATGAGCACGGGCAAATCGTGCACCTCCTTTGGACCTGTTGACCCTTTGCCATGGGGAACCTGATGTACAGGGTATTGACGCCCACAGGTCTGGCACCTCTTCGCAGGTCTCCAAATGGTTATGGAGTTGATCCTGCATGTCGGTGTTGGTCAGGTCGAGGTGTTCCTTGCTTAGGGGTACATGTGGAATTCCCAACTCTAGAAATGTTTTATGCATCTGAGAATCGGGGGCACACGCAAATTCGAACATGCAGCGGTTGAACTTGGGTGGTCTTTTCTTACCTCTACTTCTCTTCTTCTTAACTTGACCTATTTGTGAGGCTTCGGTCATTGCTGGCATTCCAAACACGGGCACACCACTTTCGGGTCTAGTTTGCACTAGTTGGGTCCTATATGTAGTGTGCGGGGTTATCGAAAGGCCGGCGATTACCGTCGGCGTGGCACTGGCGTCCTCTGGCGCCTCTGGCGGGGGGTCCGCCGGCGGTGGAGGAGGGGGATCTTCTGGGGCTACAGGAGGAATTTCTTCAACAGTGATTCCTTCCTTTCGCTTAGCCAAAAGGTCGGCCTTTTCCTCTTCAACAAGGCGTGCAAAACGTTTTCGGCATTCAGCAGTGTGATGACGAGTCTTACGCTCGCAAGCCCTGCAGCCAGGAGTTTCGCTGAATCGGATTACTCGATCTAGTGTTATGTACACACTTCGGGACTTAGGCCCAACGGGCGTCGGCGGCGCAGCGCCTTCGCCCTCTTCCCCAAAGGGAACCTCTTTCATGGGATAGTCAGGCGTGTCTAATTTGGCAATGTCGTCCAAAATGCCTAACGAACCACCATGGAGATGCCTCAACTTCGTTGATGCCATGGGAAAAAAGGGCGGTCCTTCCTCTGTGTAGATTTCTGCCTCGGGCACATCTAACACATTGGGGTGTTTACTAACCTTAAAGCCCATGTAATCCATGATTCTGGCTACATAACGGTATCGGAAACCCGACTCGATGCGCCATCCCATGAAGAGACCCGGCGACATGTTTGGTTCGAGAGTCCTCTTGCCTACCTTACGATCTCGGTAATACACTAATTGACCAAAACATCTGCGGACGCCGTCAAACTTAGACCTAGTTAGGGCCTCCCATATTGTGTCTTTGCCGGGTCTGACATCGAAGGGCGATCGAACGACATCGACATGCAGGCGTCCGGAAACGAGTATGTGTGGAACTCATACGGCAACCCGGATTGCATATGCACTGCACGGCAACACTCTTTCTCCTCACGAATGTCTCGCTCTAGCGTGGCGTTATGGGGCCATCTATTGGGGAGTGAGACTTCGGGGAGCAAGCCTACTTCATGAGCGGCTTGTTCCAACTCGCCTGCTTCGTCCATTTTAATGAGGACACATGATGCTAGTTCGTTTGCTCTCAGCCCCAAGAAATGTCTAAAGTTCTTGGCATGGTTGCTAGCTGTCCTGTTTACCATGGGATAGGCTATTCCACCCGTCCCCTTACCAGCAAAATCATCGCCCTTGGCCATGATCACGTCATCGGTTGACAGTT